CCCCAAAACCCCAAAACCCCAAAACCCCTGGGACCAGAAGGTCAATTGAATGCAATTTATTGTTTATTGGGAGAAACCCCCAAGGATTGCCATGAGTCAGGACTTTAGTCTTCTTTTAGCATGCTTGTGATGACCGCCCAGATAATAGGGCAGACTTAGACTTCGATCAGGAAGATTAAAATGAAGAAAGGGAGGTATAGAATTGGAAGAGTCATTCAGAGAATACCCATAAATAGCCAAAATAATCCACCTTTATTACTGTGATGTCTAAAATCTTCACAGGACTTTTTAAACAATAAAATGAACAGAAAGAAAAGAAGTACTGAGCAATATAAGATGTTGATAATGCCTCTTAGTCGATGTGGACACTCACTTTCTTTCTCAGACCCTCTCGCTGATGAGTATTTTAGATATTTAACCATGGCATCTTTGGTAAATTCTTTCCCACATGCTGTGCAATTCAGGTGGGATTATCCTCCATTATTTTTCAATGATTCACTATCAGTTTGGACAATAAGTGGTAAAATTTGCCTTCTGGTACTCGACAAGTCCTCTAAAATTGTATAAAACGCTAAATACTTACCTATCTCTGACATCTTCACATGCTAGTCCTTCATGCTAGGGTTCTGCTCAGCCAGTTCAGAAGGCGTAGCCTCATTCTCACTGTCCTCTGTTTGTATTACCTCTGATTGTGCATTCACTTTGTACGTATCTCCAACAATCAGGCCTAGGACAATAATACAAAGAAGGATTATTCATGACTTTTTGTTTTTCAGCAAGGTACTCTTTCATTTGTTGTTCCTTCAAAGGAACCAAGTCTTTGATCAATTCATGCTCCACTTCCTTTGTTCATGTTGGACAGGTGAACTTTGATTTCCCCGATTTCACCTGGTACACCAAGTGGGTCTTAACACATTCTGTGCAGAATCTATGAGAGCAACCAAGCTTCTTTTCGTTGGTTAGCTTTGAGAGTCAGATGTGTCAGAGAGCAAGGGAAGGATTCTAAATGGTAGGAACGAAGGTTTTTAAATGATTAGGACTCACATTATGTGCAGAACTTGATTCTGAGTTAAGCTTTATGGGCGAAATATTGGCTTTGTTAATAGAGCTTGTTTGATCTTTAGCTTCTTCTTGCGTTTTCTGTAAATTTTTTGATTTCATAAATCTTTCTATTCCCGATATCGAACATCTTCTCTATTCCCCATTACCTCAATCCTAAAAAGACCCCAAACAACCACCCCTCACCCTCACCTCTTCGTCACATGCCAACATTTCTTAATAATTTCTACAAAATCCCTCTATTCAATCTTCCTTAAATATTCTGGGGTTTTGGGGTTTTGGGGTTTTGGGGTTTTGGGG